TATATATATATATATATATAGATAAGAGCGGTCAAATGATTAAAATATTTAATTGCGATCAAATGTAATAATTTCATCGTTAACTCAGAATTATCCGTAATCCATCACGGATTTTTATCTATTCTAAATTTTCTTTGATTTCTTTTTCTCCTATTTTCCCCATTTTTAATGCTCTCATCAACATGGAATCGTGGATCCGTTTTCTTTTTTGCAAAATGCAAATATTTAGCGAAACAACAATTTCGACTTTCAATTTGACGTTTTTCACTTGGAGCAGTTATTCAAACGTGGAGCACATTTGATTCTTTGAGAGCAACGTAACATCCGCCGTGAAGGGGTGCCGCATTAATCTCGCGATAAAAAAAAATTAATCGAGTTAAAATTGTCTTAAATTAATGCCGATAATAACGTCTTAAACTGACAGCACTGATAGCGTCGGCCCAACACAGCCAAATGGTATCGGCTCTTGCGTATCCTGAGTTTTTACAGTATAGCCGTGCTGTCAAGTTTTGCAAGGTGGTCGAAAAAAAAACAAAAAAAACAGGGAGGCAAGGGACTAAGGGTAGTCTGAGCAAAATGTATTTCACAAAAACACAAAGAGGAGACACGCACAGTGATCCAACCGAGACCGACACAAGCCAGTGAAATCAATCCAAGCAAAGTGACGAGACAACCAGAAACACCTGGACAAGACGCAAAGGACTCGAGGGAGCCGCTCGGGTCAACGCAAGCGACGCAGATGACGACAACAGGTGCAGACAAAAAAAAAAAAAAAGGGCACCAAACCAAATGTCACCTCAAAACATCACACGTGTGCCTTCGGCGTATCGAACATTTTGATGTGGTTTCAACAGGGAGAGCGCATGTGAATCGGTGTTTGTGTAAATGTGGCCGTTTGAGCTCAAAAGCTAATTTGCAAAGGCGCCAGATGAAAATGAAAGGACATCGACCTCATTCGAGACAAAAATACCACAGAAAAGTCGAGCAAAAATCAAATGGAAAAAAAAACACATTTCGCCAGCAAACCAAGCACCGGGCGGGAAGTGCAACGGTAAAAAAAAAAAAAAAAAAGTTTCGGTGTCCCATAACACGATATTGTCAAATGCATCAAATATTTCTGAGCGTTATTGCATCACCATATGGTTAAAAAAAAACTTTCTTCAAAACACTCTTGTGTACAATCTGCTACTTGTCTTCCACCCCCTGGTGGATACTTTTTTCACTACAACAATTAGGACACCGTACAATGGACAATCCAAGATGGCCGACTTCAGCGAGTTCACAACTTGCCGAATCAAGGTCAAGAGAATTGTGATGTTAAAGCTGTTTCAGTGAGGTTTTCTTTGAAATTTCTACTTCCATTACATCATAAGAACTTCATCCATCAAGGTAAGTTGTAATTTCCTCTTTTTTTTTTTTTGCACTATAGTTATCGAGTAAAACCATGCAGAAAATGTATGTTCAAATTTGATACAACAGGCAAAATGCTGAATTTGGTGGTAAATGCCTACATATTTACAAATTATTTTTTTTCAATATTTAAAAAAAAAAAAAAAAATTGTTAAAGAGCCAGATAAAGATTTCGGATTCCAAAAATCAGAACGCAGAAGAGCTCGGGCTACGAAATTTGGTCGACATGCGTAACAAGAGCCGACAGAGAAAGTCTCCCGCCTTCCGGAGCATAAAACCCCACCGAGTCAACACCACGAGGTCCAAAACGCTTGACTGAAATTTGGTGGACGTATCTGTCACGAAGAGGCCCACAAATTCACCGCGACTGTCTTGCGGAGTGCGCAATCGACGGCCCCCCCCCC